GAGATGTCTAGATAGCATGCGTGAACGGGATTTCCATTGTCCACAGCTTGCGTCCAGTCGTCTAAGGTAATGAGGAGATTGGACAGACAGGAAGGATGACGTCTTTCGTGCGTCCTGAGTAGACAACTTGTTTGGCGTACTCCAGGAGCGGTCTGACGTAGGCCCCATAGAGTATTTGGAAGGCCATGCGAGTAATACGGGAGAAGGTACGGCGTATCGTCCGTAAAATGGCGAATGCCTTTTGGGCCGATTTCTCGTGGTGCAGTGAGAAGGATAAGTTTGAGGAGACTCAGATGCCCAAATCCTTTTTGGCATCTATCCTCGTGATGTTTCCTGGTCCTTTCTCATCATGCATAACAAAGGCATTCGCTGAGTCTCTTCCAAACGACATATGGACGCACTTTTCATCCTTCAGAGGAAGGTGCCAGTCCAACGCTGCTTGCTTGGCAGCGTCTACATCCATTTGGAAAGCGCTGGCTTTGGAACTCCAGGATTTCAAGTCGTCCGCAAGAAGTAGACATTTGCAAGAACGATTTCAAGTCGTCCGCAAGAAGTAGACATCGACTTGCAAGAACACCCGGGGGGTCTTTGACGTAGATCAGAAATAGCAGTGGTCCCAAGACGGAGCCTTGATGCACTCCAATGGACACCGGCGCTGGAGAAGAGTAGGTCGAGCCTATTCTCACTCGGAATGATCTGTCTGATAGGAACGCCTTGATCCAGCGAAGGATTTTCCCTTGAATCCAGTAAGACTCGAGTTTGTGGAGCAGCGGGACGTGTGGGACCCTACCAAATGCTTTTGAGAATTCGAAAAATATGGCTTGGGTTAAGCTGTCCAAGTCGAAACTTTTCATCTCCCGAGATACTTTCAAAACACCTTCTCGCCCTACCACTGTCGGCTGACATTTTATACTTCTACCGCTGGGCCAGAAATCGCGAACCTCAAGCGTCGAGTCCAAAACTCTTCCGCGCAGACTCCTCAGGAGTATGGACCTCACTTGATCAATTTAAAAAAGAGCCAGCCTCATTGGAAGACCCATATGGGACTATTGCTCAGAAAGTTTGAGGCTGACGCGGTGTTTGTCTCAGTAATTCAGCACGCAGTCAGATGGGCCTCAAGCTACCTGAAGCATTCGGCGTGTTCTGGCAGAGGTCTCAAGTGTATTCCAAAAAGTAGACTACAAAACGAGGTCAATAACGCTTGTGCAGCGCTTCATTTATCTACTGTGATCGGCGACAACTTTATGGAAATTCTGACGCACTCCGGATGCTTCATAGGTAACTGGCATTCGCCCAATATTTGGTCACGATTGGCTGTTGGGTCCAGGCTCACGACCAATCACAGCTCCACTTGATGCCGGACCGGTGAGCATCCCAAATTTTAAACTGATTTTGCGCGAGATAATCTTCTCGGCCATGGCAGCATCTGATTGCTAATGATAAAACGGGTCCGCGTAGAAGTTTGCTTAACAGACTTGAAATCCTGGAATTCTAGTACCAGTACCCTTCCTCTGAATGTAGACGCCCCACTGCAGTGGTTATTGGGCTGTCACCTTCCTCTGAATGTCGAAAAATGCACCCATATGCCATTCAGAGGATACTCAGCGAGCGCATTCGTTGTGCATGTTTAGAATGGACCAGAAGACATACCAGATGCAAAAATGAATTTGGGTATCTTGTTCTTCTCTAAAACGGTCGTCTTACTGCACCATGGGAAATAGGCCTGTAAATCACTTGCCGTTCTACGGATATTTCGGTGCACCTCTTTCCGCGTTATTCGCGAGGACTTCCAAGTGCTCCATACGGCCTATGGCAGACCGCTTTTGGAATATAACAACCAAGTTGTCTGCACAGAACACATGATGGACCTAACTCTCATTGAGCGTGTCCAGCGAGCTGCTACGAAAATGGCTGCCGGCCTTAATCCCATGGACTACAACATGCGTCTCGTGGTGCTTAACCTCTTCCTCCGGGATTATCGTCGCACCTGAGTGGACCTAATTCTTACTTATTCCCTGTTTGAACAAGGCTTGGTCAACAGGCATAATTTTCCTCCATTTCAATTAGTAGATGCGTGACTTCCTCTGACGGTTTTACACGCTCCATCTAGAATCCAGTTGAAATAACTATGAGACACCGTTTTATACGAACTGGACCAAGCTGGATCTAGGGCGAATCTACTGACCGCAAGATCGGTGGTCCGAACCCACCCTCTGCCTCTCGACTCTCCCTGTCTAGGCTTGGGCGACCTGGGATTATCCCAGTCCTCGTGCCTCCTTCGAGTGGCACGGAAGCATGACACCGAATGGATGCCACAGCTGAACAATTTCATGCGAATCCTCGCGCAGATAACTGCCGGCAACTACCACACTCTGAAAACTTAGAGAGCAGTACTACACTTTTCTCGTCTGTGCCTTTCAGCTGAACGGCAGACACAGAACGACGAGAACAAGGCTGACCAGGAGAACTTGAATGAAAACCTTGGTCGTGTGTATCGATGCGTGAATCCGTGTAAAACCTGACTCCTCTGGTTCAATGCCTCAAATGATTCGAACTGCTTGATCGTCAGCGTCTGTGAAACCTACTAATATTTACCTGGTTGTAGCAGGTATGCAGCGAAGTACTTCGTAGGTGTGCACAAATCTGACTGATAGACGAATTGGTCTATTACCTCAATGGGTTCGCTCGCAAGCATGGGATCAGGGTTCGAGCCCACCCAGTCTTGTAACAGCAATTTACACCGCCAAACCACGAAGCAGGATTATTTAGATCATTTAGTATCGTATGCATTATATTGGCGTCAGATTCAATGGTGCTCCATAGTCATATCAGTGATGATATTGAAGAGCAAATGTGACAGAATAGCCTTGCCTGACAGCATATGAACCCATTTGAGAGCTCCCCGGAGACATTCACGCATCCGCGATGTTTAACGTACGGCGCCATAGGGTGGGTCGAGAATTCGTGGGGAGACCGTTGCTCCTTAGACACCTTCCATAGTGCCTGATGGTCCACAGTCAAAGGCAGCTTTCAAGTCGAGCAAGCGGTGTCGCCGTTCCAGAATCTGCCGGGGAGGGGGGGGTGAAAATCTGATAGACGCATCATCTTGATGAACGGAGACTGGTTTGATTTTTTCGGATCTACTTCTCTCTGTGCCCAGTCAACCTTTGAAGGATAAGGCCAGAGAGTCGCAGATATGAGACTGGCGTTATGGTGATTTTCACGCAAGGCGCATGAATCATACTTAAATACAGGAATAACTGTCGACTTGCCTCATTCTGCAGGTCAAGTCTCCCGGTACTCCAGGTTTGGGGTTGAAACATATATGGAAACCTGTTCTATAGCAGTGGTACTGCACCTTCGTTTTCCGCCAAACCGCTATCTTGCTGTCAGGCTTTTGAGACAAAGGCTTTGGTCGAGAAACCTAATCGTCCTCCTGTCTAGGTGTTGACGCAATGGCAGTATCCCAGCCCAAGTACAACCATGGATTGCACACATACAAATAAATCCATACCACAGTGACCGTCGCGTGGTTTTGCCAGCCGGATCGGCTTAACTGCTGTGCAGAACAGCGCGGGGAAGTGTTGTGCCTTGGTGAACGATCGTGCAACTGCGTTTCGGTCAAATGGCTTCCTGCTCCCCCCACTATGGTATATCAAAAAGGCACGGTAGCTCCACACAGCCCTTTATGGAAACAAATGAAAATCAGTACAACTGTATTTATAGGCTAGTCACAGAGTGTTTCACAAGGTCGTGCCTGAATCTCCGTGAGGGGGCGAGAAGCGCCGAGTCACGGAGGCTTGACTCGGATTGGCTGAGGGCTCAGGGCATGCCCTCCTTTGGCCCGTTTCCTGCACGTGACGCATGCGTCTAAATGATGGGATGTTCGGTTATTAGGAACGACTGGCCTCCGTACAGTAAGATACAACATTCTATTACTGATGCCTCTGTTCCCACGCTTCCACGTATCCCCTCTTCTACCCTACCCCACTCCGAATTCTGAATACTCTGCAGGTTCCATCACTAAGACCGACCGCTTTGCTCACTGTGCCTCACGTTCAGCATGTGTAGCAGATGAAATGGCCCAAGTGGTTGGAGCGCGAATTTACAGACTGGAAGGTCTGTGGTTCGAACCCGACTTCTGCCTCTCGACTTCCCCTGTCTAGGCTTGGGCAACTTGGCAGTATCCCAGCCCTCGTGCTTCCTTCGGGTAGGATGGCTGCTAGGCACCGAAAGTGTTACAGCTGAACGATTTTGTGTAGCAGACTTCACTGGCAATCCCAAATACTTACAAGTCTGTTTTCAAACCCCGAAAGCCGGTCTACTTAACTGCCTTCAGTGTTCGCACATTGAAACAAACGAGACACCACGTGTCTCCCACCCGTACGCTGGATTCCTGCATTGATGTATACTGTCTGTCTGAAGTAAGGACACAAGACGCAGGTACTGTGATAGAACTGACTGCCCCCTCACTCTCTTACCGGTTCCGGCCGCACACCTCTGGTAATGCGCAGGCCATTGCAGCCGAGGTGGGTATTGTGTTGAACGGCGATCGAAGGCTTCTGATTGATTGATAACCGCCTTCGTGCGGTTCGTTTGACAACGTTTGTGAAAGAATCTCGAGAATGTGAAGCCCATCACATCGTTTCTTGTGTCTGCTTACGTTCTCAACTGACTGTAGCTCTGAATCTACCAAAAGCAGATTCCATGATACTCTAGATACTCTTTGACAACAGGCTAAAAGCTCAGATATCGTTGTGGTTGCCTGTGACATGAACGCCCAGGTAGATTGACTAAGCGCTGCTGAGGCCCGATTGGGTGGTCGTCTCGGATTAGACACGAGACGCACGGACAACGGGGATTGATTGCTTCAAATGTGTGCTGATCACATACTGTTCTTTGCAGTACGAATTTCGGGAACAGCGGATATCGCTTGACAACGTGGTCCCCGCCAACAAACCAGCATCATCATCTTATCGACAGCATGACATCAGTGTTCAACACCGATGCTTTACTGCCGTACAACCATGATTTATTTGAAAGCATCGCTTTTAAGGGCTGTGTTGTTGTACGGCTGAGAGACGTGGCCTCTAGATAGATGTTGGGAGGTGTCTCCAAGTTTTTGTCCACCGATGCCTCAGAAGCGTTACTGGTTTTGGATGGCGTCAGTGACTTCGCTGCCACTGGAAGCATTGCAAGAAATGACCCCCGATCGATGTCACTGGCATTCATGTTGTCAGTTCCCACGTTGCCTCTGAGGGCTTGGCGGTGTAGGCACCCCTGAATGCTTTTGATAGGTCAGCATCTGGTCCCCTCCCTCACACACTCGTTTATCTGCTTTCGATGCAATAAGATAAACTTTGTTATTGTATAGCAGTGAATCATCAGTGTGAACGCTGATGTTGCTCTCTCCGATGATGATGTTTTTGATGAGTTAAGTAATGTTATATCCTCTTGGGACGTATCAGTCAGATTCGTCAGTCCACCGGAGAAGACAAACAACTTCAAGGAAGTTGTCCTGAAAACGAGTGGATTTTTCCGTGATAGGGAATTTAACTGAACCAGAATATAAAAAGAGCTAACAGTTCAATAGAATGTCAATGAGAAGCTGAAATGTACAAATAAGTTTTCAGTACACGTGACAATCGTTAGCAAAGTGGATTTGTTCGTTTGAAGGTAGTCCTTCTAACAGGTAATATATACACTGACTACACTAACAACGGACTAACCTTCATACGCCCGAATGCAGGCGCCATAGGACCGACTTGATATCCTGCTCAGTCTTTAAAAGAAGTGATGTCCGAAATTCGTTTGTCCCCACCGGACATTGTTAGAGACTAGAAGCCCAGTGGGCAGATAGTTTGCTCTCTAACCACTGACTCTCCAGAAGAGTTATTAGGACGTGAAACCAACTTCGACCGCTGTCACGACAGTTACCAATTCAAATAGCTAGTTGGTCAACTTCAGGTTGGACACATCTGAGCGGTACCGGGATTAGAGAGTCGACGCTTGTAACAGCCCAATGAGGGGAGAGACGAACAAGAAAACTGGACGCCCTCTGGCAATCAAAATCAGAATGACCCCAATAAATGAGGCGTCAGACTGCCTTCGTTTCAGTTGAACCAAAAAAGACTAGGCAATATGTTGTCAGGCGGCTACATGAATGTGCAAGCTTCCTTCACATGACTGGTGGACTGCGCGTCACTGCTTACTGTGTAGGGCTTCAGATTTAACTAGCGCTGTTTCCATACCCTAGTAAACGGCCATAACAAGGACGAGGTAGGCATATTCATTCATGCACCAGAAAACGTTGGAAAATATCCCGTAACGTAGGTCAGCTTCGGAAGCACTGCACGAGGCCATTAAGCATCCACCCCTTCCCTACTGCAAGACCCGGTCACTACGATGCAAGATTTGATCACTTTCGCGTAACTGACATGCCTAAGGCGCAATGGGTCAACGTGGTCTCTAATGAAACAATCCGACGACACTGCCTGACAAACTGACATGCGTATCAAGCGACTGAGGATCACCTAGCCGTTCATCTCCCAGCTTGATTGCCACTCCGTTCATGGTATCAGGTTCCATAAACGAAATTCGTTTAGAACTCGCTGCTTATCATTAGTAATTGGCAGATATAATACACCCGTCACGAAGAGACTGGACCTTACCGTGGTGTGACGGTTTGCGCACCTCAGCGATCCATGGAGCTATACTGGAGAGTGTCCCGCGACACTCACAGAGTCTCTCATACCAGGTTGGTCAATGGTTAGAGGTCTGACGAACACAGTCTCCT